TCTACCCCTGCTTTAATTCTACCCGGACATGATCTCTATTCCGCATGCTGATTTCAAACAAATCCTAACCGCATATTTCTAGTTCGCATGCTTTGAACAGAAAATAAAGCAGGAAACAAAGCATCCTAGGGTTTGGAATGAGGTCTTGGGGTGGGCTCTAATTCCCTGTACTCTCCCGGTTTAGGTTCTAAAAAACGGTACTCGAGTTCTCCTTGCCGGTGCCCCCTTGGGCTTGCCAGACCCTTAGTCCTAAGCTCATTACAAGCTTGTGTGGACTAAGTTAAACTCGAGAGGACACATTCCCTTATGCCCATACGGTGAATAAATTCACACGAAGACATAAGGTATATGAATCCCGAAGGCTACTTGCTAGGCATATGCGGTGAATAAATTCACACGAATGCGTCGCTTTCACCCCCACTTAAAAGGGTTCGGAGCTCGGGTTTAGAGCTTAGAGATGACAATTTTGAAAAAAATCTGAAATCATTAAAAAACATCAGTACAACTATTTATTTGAAACAAAATAATCAAAGGTAAATAATTGGAATCGAATAGATAAATTAAAATTTAAATTTACAATTTTCGCATAAAAAGACAACGAAAAATTAATTCTGGCCTGACTCACTTACCTATCCCCAGCGGAGTCGCCATGCTGTCGGAAACGTCTTTCGGTTGTGCCCCGGAATTGGGCTTCGACTTGGATTAAATGAATTGGAGTCGCCACCGACCACTTTAAAACGAATTTAGGTGGGCCGGATACCATCTTACCTGATCTGCGTCGTACCAGAAACGTGTCGGGTTCGGGAGTCGGTTACGGTCAAGGAAGGATTAGCACCCTTGAACCACCCTTTCGGTACCAATTAATTTGTCGGTTGTCTTTAATTGCGAAAATTAGAATTTAAATTAAAATTAAATTCATTCGATCCGAATTACTTACCATTTGATCGGCTGAAATCATGACTGAAACAAAATACGTTAGATAAAAAGCGAAAACAAAATGCTAATAAATAAAAAAAATATAAAAAATAATAATAAATATGAAAGAAAGAAATAATAAAATAATAAAAGGTTAAATTTAAAAAAAAATATTTAAAAAGTAAAATAAAAAAATAAAGATAAAATTTAGGATCAAATTGGAACAAATTGAGCTTAATGAATTAGAGAATGAACTGCAAAAGAACAAATAAAAAGTTAGGGGACCAATTCACAGAATATAAAAAAAATATAAATAGGGACCAAATTGATTAAATCAGAAATATGGAGGCCAATTTACAAGTAGTGACCAAATTGAACTGCGACTCAAAATGATAGGGACTGCGGAAAGGATTTAAGAATCCTTTATTTGCACACTGGTCCATCGTATATAAATGCCCAAACACACCCTTTCTCAGCTCATTTCCACCATTTCCTCACAGATTCTTCTCTCAAACGAGAGAAGGCTCTGAAGCCCTCTCCCTTGGCGATTCCGACCACCTACCGACGCTGTCCACAACCGCCGACGGCCGCCGCGAGCAGCGGCCGAAAAAACCAAAGCCCCTCAAAATACTCCTCTCCACCCCGTAAACCTAAATATGTGACTCAAAACACAAAACATGCCCTACCGGCGTAGATCTAGGCGTAAATATTCGATTTTTACCCTTAAAACCCTTCGTATCCCGACGTTTTTCGTTCCTCACGGTGGTGCTTTTCCTCGCGCCAAGAGTTTCGATCCTTCCTTTGATATATTTTGCTTTGTATCTTGGATGTATTTGGTAGTTGTGGTTTGATGGGTTTTTGATGTCTTCTGGTTTCTGGTTTTTGTGACTCTGATGTACTGTTGGCTTCAGTTTTTACTTGTTGTTGGTTTGAACTCTTGGTTTACTGTTGATCCGTTGTGGTTCTCCTTGATCTTGTTTTGGTTATTTGGTTTACTGTGTTTATGCTTCTGAGATTTGCGTGGCCCCCCCTCCCTGATGGCCGTGGTGGGATATTATACCCACCCCACCGGGGGTCTGCTCCGATGATAACGGTAACGTGCTCATGGTTAGTTGGCCGGGGATTTCGGGATGGGTCAGTCCCGATCTCCTCAGCCGGAAATCTCGGTGGCCGGTGTGACTGACCCTTGACCTCCTTGGCTTACGCTGCGCCTGTTTGAACATACGTTGGAACCCTAATCTGAGCTCTGGGCTGGATCAGGCCCTCGAGACTTATTGGACTGTTTGGACCCTCAAAAAACATAAAAAGAAAATAATAAAAAGAAAATAAATAATAATAATACTGATATAATATAAATTATATAATACATATATTTCAAAAATATTTTTTAAACTATATATTATATTTAAAAAAGTTTTCAAAACTATATTATATAGTTTTCAAAATGTTTTAAAAATATTATATAAGTTTTAAAAAACGTTTTTAAAACTATATATATATAATTTATTCAAAAATGTTTTTAAAACTATATATAATAAGTTTTTAAAATGATTTAAAACTATATGTTATATATATTTCTAAAATGTTTTAAAAACTATATGTATATAGTTTTCAAAAAATATTTTAAAAAACTATATATTACCCATATTTTCAAAATGTTTCTTTTTAAAAAACTATATATTATATATATATTTTCAAAAACCGTTTGCAAACCATATAATATATATAAGGTATATATGTATAAAATAATAATAAAAAATATGGACGAAAATTAGTGTCTACACCTATATAGTATTTGTTAGGAGAGGAATGGTCATTTACATGGGGCTGGTTCAAGACACGTTACTGGATATCATGTATGCAGTTAGATTGAAATTAATGGGTTGTACAAAGGTTATTCTCTCCTCCCCTACTCTCGCAGTTGAATGAGATTTGTTATAGTTTTTCCTTTCTGCTCTAGTTATAGTTCGGAGCTGCTCACGAGATTTTTCGAGTCGAATATTTATCATGGTTTGACTGAATTGATCTCGAATAACTCGTGATCTATCTTGTCTCATTTACAGTCCTATATTTCACCCTCAAAATAATAGATATATAATATATTTATTCATCATTAATTATAATGTTTTTTAAGAACTTTTACAAATTAATATAGTTTATTATATTTTATTCTATTGAAATTAAGGTTGATAAACCGACAAGTGGACAACACGTCAACAATTTGTAAATTTTAAAAATTATAATGATATCAAAGTAAATAATAATAAAAAGAAAAATAAACACACATAGGGATGACAAACGCGTGGGTCGGGTGCGGATACCCCCTCTCCATCCCCATACCCACTTAATATTTTCAAATCCACCACCCGTCCACCACCCATGATGGGTAAAATTTTTCAAATACACATCTGCTCACGCGGGTACATTCTCAAATCCATCCACACACCCACTACCCAACTGGAGACGTATTCGACTAGATCCGCCTGACAGCAACCTTAAAGTTATACATAAGCAACAAACATAAAACAAACACGCCCATTAAGAAACATAATAAAATAAACCAATGACTATTTGAGTTAAGTGTTAACATAGATCTTAAAGTACATAAAACACGATAATAAAAGACATAATTAAAGCCTAGAAACATAAATGACAAACACATAATATTTTTGTTCTTTGGTATACATAAATGACAAACCCTAAAATTATACCTAAATTTATAATGGTCCAAAATTTAATGGGTATTTAGTGGGTGGACGGATGTGGGGCGGGCGGATGCGGGGTGGGTAAGGTCTCAAACCCATCACCTGCCCACTATCCGCGACGGGTACTACTTTCTAAATCTACATCCGCCCACTACCCACTAAAATTATACACATCCATGCCCCAATTGAAACGGGTATAGTACGGACTCCACAAAATTGTACCCGTTTGTCATCCCTACACACATTTTCTCTTAATTTTCTCCCGACTTCTTTTTCATTCCCCTTTTCTCTGAAACTTGATTCTCTCAAAATTACAATGCAGATATTCATTCTTCTCTTTTCCTTCCCCCCATCGATTTTGTTTTTCAAACACAACCACAATACAGACAGAAAGATCATCAAATAGGCGATTATTAGAAATTTCAATCTTCGATATTTGAGGGGAAAAGAGGTACTTCTCTATTTCCATAACTTCCTTTACATTTTTGTTTTGCAGTTTTACCAATTGGTTGTGATTTTGTAGAGAGATTTAATAGAAAAATAAGTTTGCAGAAGAAAATTATGGCGATTTTATCAAAACCATTCTTAAATTTAATTTTTCTTCTTTTGCATGCCCTAAACACGTCTTATATGAATTTCGTCATGTTAAGTAATATATCCATATCGAACGCTGATACGACGAGGAGTTATTCCGAAATGCTTCATGTAGTTGCAAACAGTTTTTCATTTAGAGACAGGTAGCCCCTGTAAACAAATCAAACGTTCAACGAATCGTTTGTTTAATCTTTCGTGTTTGTTCGGTTAAATTTAATCAAACGAATGTAAATATACATTTATTTAAGTTCGTTCGATTCTTTTATAGGCATAGATACAGTACCCGTCTAATCTTGTGTTTAGATATCCAATGATGGTATTCCAAGGACGAAATCGTATCAAAACGAAAATCTAATGATTATAGAGCTAGGAAAGGTTTAATTGCAGTCTTAATCCATCAACTATGTTGAAATTTTGAGATTTGATCTGAATACTTTAATTTAACATAGTTTGATGTCTCTACTTCTATAATGTTATTACTAGGTCCACGATGATATATATATATCTACTTTAACATGGGATTTGATTAATACGTACAGTTATTATTGATTTAATATGATTGATTAAATTTTTACTTAACTCTAATTGTGAAAGAATAATAATAAAAATGTTTTTTTATCACTTTTACGATAATAATTAAGGTGTTATCCATTTGGGATTACTGACAATATTACAAAAGTAAATTACTTAACTGATTGAATCTTGTTTTGATTGACATTGTTACTATTGTAATAGCATCATAAAACAATAAAGACAACGGCGGCGACGGTAAAAGTGACGAAGGCAATGCCTAATGACTATACGGAAACGATTACGTGCCCCTTCGGGGAGTTGGCGACGAATTTATCAGACTCGGAGCTAAATGAGGCAGCTTATGAGATTTTGGTTGGAGCATGTCTGAGTTATGGTGGGAAAACATCGAATGACAAAGTACCGGACTCGGAAAAGAATTCGGAGAAGGCGGGGGTGACGACGACGACACAGTATACTTCGTTGAAGTCAAGGGCGGCGAGTAAGGTGAAGAAGGCTTTAGGAATAAAATCTCGGAGGACGAAATCGAGCGGTAATAAGACCGTCCCGGAACAAGTGAAGAAGCCGAATTCAATTGAGGAGACGTTGAGGGTTCAAATGCGAGTTTCGGAGCAAATGGATTCTAGAGTTAGGAAAGCTCTCTCTAAAGTTGTTGTTGATCAGGTTCGTTAAAAGAAATTGCTTTTGCACTTTTCGTTTTCTTTTTCGGTTATATGCAATTAAATATAACAAAATTTTCAATTAAGTCCTTGTATCAATCTAATTTTAGTATATTTAATGTGATCGAATTTAAATTTGAGCTCGAACTTAAATACATATATGTATGAACAAACGTAATCAAACTTAGCTTTGAGCTTAAGTACGAAAATCATTATGAGAGCCTGAAGGGGTTATAGGCCTCACGAAATTTGGAAAAATTTAATTACATCCTTAAAATTTCAAAAACTTTTAATTAGGCCTTCAATTTATTTGTAAAAAAATTATTAGACCTCTTATATTTTGTTTCTTGTATATGCATCAGAAAATAGAGTCAGTTGTGTTGCCACTCGAGATGTTGCAGCTACTCAAGCCTGCCGATTTCCCGAGCAAAGAAGAACACGAAGCTTCGCAAAAGAGATATTTGAAGCTTCTTGAAGCCGGACTCCTTTTGCATCCTCTATTGCCACTAGAAAACGACAATGCCGATCGGCAACGGCTCCGAGAGATCATCGATGGGGCATCGGAGAAGCCTTCGAACATCATAAAAAACAAAGAATCGATGCAATCCCTTCGGAGCATTGTTACATCACTTGCTTGTCGAACACGCGACGACGGAACCGTTTCCGAGACACACCACTGGGCAGATGGATTCCCTTTGAACCTCAAAATCTACCAAATGTTGCTCGAAGCTTGTTTCGATATCAATGACGAGGCATCGGTCATTGAAGAGTTATTTGAGGTGGTGGAGCAAATAAAGAAGACATGGCAAGTCATGGGAATGAACCAAGTGCTGCACAATCTCTGCTTCCTGTGGATCTTTTTCAACCGTTACACGACAATGACGGATCAAGCCGAGGGTGATCTGTTGAACACGGGCGAGAACCTGTTGACGAAAGTCGAACACGATGCAAAGGCATTGAAGGAAGATTCCAATTATGCCAAGGTGTTGAGTTGTGTTTCAAGTGTGATTTTAGGTTGGGGTGAGAAAAGGCTTGTTGATTACCACATTCATTTCCGAAGCAGCAACATTGAGTCAATGGCATGTATGGTTTCCATGGCGGTTGTATCAGCAAAGATAATGGCAGAAGATGGTGATGAAGGAGACGAAATCGATGTTGGTTACCAGAAAGTTGATGAATACATAAAATCATCACTTCGTGCTGCTTTTACCCAGGCAAGTTCCCAATATTTCACCATCATCTTTTATATTGTCCCTAAGTGTGTGCAACACTAGATAGGAGTCTCCTATATAGGGATGAGGAACGAGTCGATTTTTTTATCATTTCAACTCATATTATAAAATTTTGAATAAAATTTTCTCTCATTTTTATTCGATAAGATAAGAAGATAATTAAAAATATTATAAAGAGGCTTTATAGTCTATCCTTAAATATATACAGAGAGCATTATAGTAATTATCCAAGTCAAAACTACCTCAACCACGACTCTCCTTCATCAACCTGATTCAAACATAATCTTGCTCAAACCCATTAGATTCAAATATTTTGATCACCTATATTCCTATAATTCAATAAGAAAAAAGAATAAACCGAGCCAATTCAAACCCAAGTCATCTTAGTGAAACATTACTTCCAGGATCACTTATGTTCATGTTTCAAGCGATTTAAAATACGGTAAAATATTAATAATAGTAGCAGGATCAAAGTATATCACATTAAAATAGGGGGATGAAGATCAGAATTTTACTATTTTTATCTGAAGACGAATCATGGTTATGTTTTTTTTATCTATTGATAGACGTGTATTTAGACAGGTAATGGAGATGGAAAAGTCCAGCAAAGCTTCATCAAAAGACTTTCAAAACGAGCTTCCTTTCATGGCCAGACTTGCAGAGGAAGTGAGTAAACTGGCTCTTACGGAGAAGGAAACATTCAGTCCAATATTGAAACGGTGGCATCCACTTGCAGCCGGCGTAGCAGTGGCCACCCTCCATTCCTGCTATGGGAATGAGCTGAAGCAATATGTTTCGGGCATCGATGAGATATCACCGGATGTTTTAAAAGTGCTGAAAACTGCTGACAAATTGGAGAAAGATTTGGTGCAGATTGCGGTTGAGAATTCGGTGGATAGTGAAGATGGTGGCAAGTCGATCATAAGGGAGATGCTTCCTTACGAGACTGAATCTGTTACCTCTGGTTTGGTTAAATCATGGATAACCGAGAGAACTGATAGGTTGAAGGAATGGGTTAATAGGAACCTGCAACAAGAGGTAATATCGGCTAAATCATAATTTGACCATCTATATACCAAATTACTTGCCTTCTTTCTCTGGTTATGCATTGTGTACTTTTCTCATCTCTTTGTAGAAATGGGACCCAAAGGCGACAAGGGAGCGTTTTGCTCTATCAGCTGTTGAAGTGCTGCGGATTGTAGATGAAGCTTTTGAAGCATTCTTTTCGTTACCAATAGCTATACATGCTTCTATGCTCCCAGATTTAGCCACCGGGATCGATAGCTGTCTTCAACACTATATATCCATGGCCAAATCTGGCTGTGGTACGTTTACTTACCAATCACACAATATTTCTCTGGTCCTTGTACTTCCACGAAGTTTTAGATTTAGTCCTTGCTTTCTTTTTAATTTGAAAAATTCTAATCCAATTATCGACACATTAATACCTGAAATCTACAGATACCCAAAGCTATGTACCCACAATGCCACCTTTGACTAGATGTTCTAGACGCTCCAAACTTCCTGGTGTATTTAAGAGAAAAGAAAAGGCTCATAAGAAAACTCAGTGCGGGACTGCAAATGACACCTCCGGAACACCCCAGATGTGCTGTCGTATTAACACTCTTCTCTATATTCAAACTCAGTTGGATGGATTGGCAAAAAGGGAAGTTACCCATTTAACAAACTCAGAATCAAATCAAGATATTTCAAATGGAATAGAGAAGGAATTTAAACTTTCAGCTGCTGCATGTGAAGAAGGGATCCAACACCTATGTGAAGCAACTGCAAATAACGTCGTCTACCATGACCTAAGTCATCTCTTCTGGGACGGCTTGTACATCGGGGACGTTTCATCGTCTAGGATCGAACCTTTTCTTCTGGAGCTCGACCTCCAGTTGGAGGACATTTCATTAACTGTGCATGGCAATATTAGAACACGACTTGTTACTCAAGTAATGAAGGCTTCTTTTGATGGCCTCTTACTGGTTTTACTCGCCGGAGGCCCTGCTCGTGCTTTTACCCTGCAGGACTACGAAATGATAGAAGAGGATTTTAGGTTCTTGACTGATCTGTTTTGGTCTAACGGGGATGGACTTTCGGCCGAATTGATCGACGACTTTTCCATCACGGTTAAAGAGATCCTCCCCTTGTTTCAAACTGATACCGAGAGCCTGATTCAGAAATTCAGAAACATAACACTCGAGAATTGTTCTTCTTCTACGACTAAATCCAAGCTTCCATTGCCACCAACGACCGGTCAGTGGGGCCCGACTGAACCGAACACGGTCTTGAGAGTCTTGTGTTATCGGAATGACGAAATAGCAGCCAAGTTCCTTAAGAAGACTTATAACTTGCCAAAGAAACTCTAACAAATTTTTTTCCTGGTGAAAACAAACAGTCAAATGATGCTATAAACTGATAGATTCATGTGATCCATATATCTGCCCGTGTATATGTAAAATCACGATTTTACACAAGAGGGTAACATCATTTCACTACCTCCAGAAACAGTTTTGGATCTTCCTGCTGTTGTTTCCAAATACCAACAACTCAAGCTACTGCTAACAAACAGATGTCATATAGTTAAAAGTAGTAAGCTCATTATCATTGTCAATTAGTCACATAAAAAGAGATGCATGTGGCGTCTAAAGAAAAACAACATGGTGGCCATAAATTTTTCATAACAGAAGCAGCCAAGGTAAGATCACACTATTGGCATTAGAGTAAAGAGTAGGAAGATCGTAAGCTTCTCTTTTATTTTCCAACAAAGGAACATCATAATAATAGAGCAATAGAAAGAGAACTAAGCCACCAATTAACCTTATTGTATATATAAAAAAAGCATATGCATAAGATGATTTGTGCTTTATTTTTGCCCTAAATTTGATGTTATAAATAATGACGACGTAGTTCAATACAGCAGATTACAAAAGATGGAGCGAAGCCTTCAAAATCCATTTAATTTGATTGTATCCAAGTAAAATAATAACCTACCAGTAATATATATGATGAGAGACTGATTTTAGAACGGTATATTAGAAATGTGTAATTAAAAGGGTTAAATTCTGATTTTAGTCCCTTTACTATTCTCAAAATAAGGATTTAACAACAATTAGAGTGGTAAAGTTATTGTAAGTTGGCATCAAAGGCTAGGAGGGTTCATGCTTTGGTAACCCATTACCTCCCCAAAATTTGTAATGGTAATAGAAAATTAAGATTATGTTCCTACATTTTAATTTACCACAATTTGATTTTTTTTTGTAATGTAATTAGCTAATCCAAATAATTAACATGCATGACTATTATGTTATCATGAATCTTTGTAGAAACACCAATTCGAATGAATACTCATGTTAATATGATGGGTTGAAAATGATGCTTTTAAGGTATTATTTGCTCAATTTCAAAATTAGAAAAAAAATAAATTATATTTAAATCAAAATATTGAAGTTGACTAATGGTAAATTTTGATAGTTTCGACCGAAAGGTTATTTTTTTTAAGTGTGTAAATATTAAAATATATTTTTTAGAGAGATTAAAATGAATTTTTGATGATTTTAATATAATTGATTAATTAAAATATTTTTTTCTTGAGGAAAATTCTACGACGCTCAACGAGCAAGCACCACTAACGATGAGTATCATTAATTTAAGTTATAAAAATTTAAATTCTAAAGGATTCGATGTATACTTATAAATTAATTTAAAAATTAAAGGTAAATTATTTAAAATAAAGAATAAACTATACCAGTAACCACCTAACCATTATCCCTTTTCATTTTGACCACTATTTTTGAAATTTTATCAATCATGTCACTTAACTATTTAAATGCATTCAATTAAGCCTCTTGTCGTTAATATTTAACGGAGAAACTGGTGTACCAGTTAAAAAATATTTAGTATAATTACACATTTGGTCATTGTTACTTATATATTCCATCAATTTGGTCCTAATTTTAATTTATTAAAATTAAATATTATATAAATTTATTAGATATATTTATAATTTTTTTTATAAAAGTATTTTGAGAATAAAATATTTATTAAAGTATTAAAAAAATCAAAGAATTGATTTTAAGATAGAATGTACAAAAAGAATTGCAGTAAAAATTCAAGTTAAATAAAATATAGGGTAAATTAGATATTTAGTCACCTAATTATTTGTGTGGTTTCATTTTAGTCACCAAACTATTTGTTTTTTTTTCCTTTAAAATCATCACTAACATTACGTTTTTGTTTCGTTTTGATCAATAATCGTTAAAAAATAGCGGTGATGTTAACATGTCACCATATGATAATGCCACATCATCATTGAAAAAATAAAAAATATCAAGTCAATAGTTATGTTAATTTTTAACAGTAGATGATTAAAATGAAATCAAAAACTAACATCAGTGAAGATTTTGAAAAACAAATAATTAGATAACCAAACAGAACCAAAGTGATATTTAAGTGATTAAATACATAATTATTTTTTTAGTTGAGAAACTTTCTCTGCTTGTGATAAGAAAAAGCTTTTAAAATTCATATTAATTTGGAGTAAGTACAAGATGATATATGTTCTAAGATAACCCTCAACCATTTGACTGCATCCCAAAATCCAGAAAATTAAATGATTTATAATGATAACTTTTTATTATTATATACATCTTTTCTTTATTATTATCATAATTCATTGTTTTGTGACAATATAGTTTCTAATAATTCTATAAAGTACATAATGGACATATTGCATTAAAGTAAATATAAATGTTGTTGTTGAATTAATATTTATATGTTGAAAGATATAGTGCTTGAATTGATAACAGCAAAGATGAGGTTGATGGCTAAATAATACTCCGTGTATATATCATAATTATATATATGATAGAATAACATCAATTCTTTTTTATTTTAATTTATTAAAATTGAATCCAAATTTATAGAATATATAAGTAACAGTGACTAAAAGCGTAATTATACCAAATATTTTAACTGCCACATGAGCTTCTCCATTAAATATTAACGGTAAGTGGCTTAGTTGAATGCATTTAAATAGTTGAGTGATTTGATTTATAAATTTTGAAAATGGTGGTCAAAATGAAAAGGGGCAGTAGTTAGGTGGTCACTAGTATAGTTTACCTTCTATTTTAAATAATTTGCCTTTAATTTTTTTAAATATTTTATAATTATAAATTGAGCCTTTATAATTTTAAATTTTTATAAATTAAATTAATAGTGTTTATCGTTAGTAATGTTCATCATGCTCGTCGAGCGTAGAAAAAATATCCTTTCCTTGAATATATTTATCTTCTGATAATGTTTTTTCACACTTCATTATGTGGCAAGCAATCAAGATTCAAGAGCCCAAGAAATTACTATCTTGATAACATATTGAAAACTAGGGTAAAGTACACGGATGATCTCCCAACAATAAGATATTGCTTTGTTGAGTCTCTCGACTATTAAAATTTACAAAATAATTTCTTGATTGTAGAACATTTTTTTTTGAGTCCCTGAACTATTAAAAGTTATAAAATGGTCACTCAACTATTCATATGCTCCAAACACGTCCTTTTCTGTTAAAAATTTAATGACAGTTTGAGCTAGACGTTAATTGCCGACTGTAATAAGATAAAATTTGATCTCAAAATCTCAAATGATTATCATATCTCATTCAACGGGTTAATGTCCAATTCAAGTTGACATCATTTTTTTTTCACACATCATTATGTGGCAAGCAATCAAGATTCAAGAGCCCAAGAAAATTACTCTCTTTATAACATATTGAAAACTAGGGTAAAATACACAGATGATCCCCAAACAATAGGATATTGCTTTATTGAGTCTCTCAACTATTAAAAATTACAAAATGGTTTCTTGATTGTAGGACATTTTTTTGAGTCCCCAGACTATTAAAAGTTATAAAATGGTCATTCGATTATTCATATACTCCAAACACATCATTTTATGTTAAAAAGTTAACAGTAGTTTGAGCTAGACGTTAATTGCCGACTGTAATATGATAAAATTTGATCTCAAAATCTCAAACGATAATTATACCTCAGTCAACAGGTTAATATGAAGCTCAAGTTATCATCAATTGTTTTTAACAAAATAGGACGAGTTTGGAACATATGAATAATCGGGTGATCATTCTGTAACTTTTAATAGTCGAGAGACTCAATAAAATAATGCCCTATAATCAGAGGACTATTTTATCTTTTTTAATAGTCGATGGACTCAATAAAGAAGTACACTAGTCATGGGATCATTTATATACTTTACCCTAAAATTTACATATAAAAAATCATAAAAAGTCTTTGTAGCCTAGTAGGCTTGTAACATGCTTTCCCATCAACCTTATCTTTTGTTTTACAAGGTAGCATACAAAAACACTGTATTAAAAATATAAAATAAAATGGTTTAATTATGGTTTTGGTCCTCTATTTTTCTAAAATTTGAGATTTAATCCCTCTACTTTAGTTTGACATAATTGGATTATGGATACCTGTAATTTTATAATGCTTATTATTAGTATGTGTAAATTGGTAACACTACTAATTGTTGTCATTAAAGTGATCACGGCATAAAATTTTACTAATAAGAAAGTTATTTGAACCATATTTACTATAAGAAAATAATACTAGAAAGAACCCTTCCGTCATTCTAAAGACAATAGTTAATAATATTATAAATATGGACGCACTAAAAATTATTATGTTAAATTAAAATAGATGGATTAAATTTCAAATTTTATGGTAGGGGAGGGACTAAAACCACAATTAGAATCGGAATTGTAGGGTTTTTAAAGGATTCAACCCAGCAGCTATTGCAAGAGATAAGAATGATTCCACGTAATAAATATGTGCAGCAACAATATAAAGAACAACCCCATGCTTGGCTTTTGTTCCACTTAGCACTTAATAAAGCTAATGACGCGACAAATCCACCAACAAATTGGAAAGTTCATTAAAGGTCTAGCTTTAACTTTACATGGGGATATATACAAATATTTCTGATAAGAATTAATTGTTATAGTAATATATAAATAAGAATAGATACAAGATTTCTGGTTAATAGTGTAGTCTTCTATAAAATCATATAAAATTATAAGATAAAAAATTATAAAATTTCATAAAGTACAAAAATTATATCATCAGTATAAAAAATTATCTAAACTATACTAAAATTTAAATTTTCAATGAAGTGCAACTATCCCATACTAGCATCCCATTCTATCCATCTTTGTAAACCAATGAATGAACTTTTAGTTGGATGCATGAATGATAATGGGTCGGGTTTTTAGCCGTTTTGAACCCGACCCGGGATATGTTTAAAGAAGTTTCAATCGATCCAAAATCTAAGATAAAGATCTGCACTCATCCCG